TATGATAACTCTTGAGCTCTGAAGATTAAAATCAAAATCAAAGGTGTCAAAATGTGCTGCTAAAAGGCTGCTAAAAGAAAATTAGAGGCATAACTGTTTTTGATTTTATTTGTATGACTAAAGAGAGGAAAATTAAATTGGCTGAGAAATTAAGCAAATGGGGTCAGCTTCTGACAATGAAAACAGTGATGCAGAGTGATTAAACCTAGTTTAGGCGTAGCTTTTGTCCCAGTTTGGCTTTATAGGTCAAGCAATGTTCACTATCATAACAAATACATGGAAAACTATCTAGGTTTTAATACAGGATATGATCTTTGTCCTCACATTTTGTTATAATCTTATCAGTAAATCTGGAAAGAAGTACCAAAGTTCAAAGCCATTTCAAACAAAGCATCTTAAAGAGTAGTCAAGGCTATGTACTGACTGTAATGCTTTTATTACTGTTCACAACTTAACTGTTTTGTGCAGGTTTTTATGGCCCTCTTCAGGAAGAGGGGGGGTTGTAGATTGTGGACAAGGAAGTAAACTGTCTGATTTAATCATTAACGTGGAATTTAAAAATATGATTTTAAACAATAAAAGTAAGACTATCAGACACGAAGATTAGTTCAGGAGGGCAAAGGTGACAACAATTTTTGTTTAACCAGAACCAGGGATGTTCAAGTGACCCACTTCTTTGGACCCAGTTTAATAATAATAATTCAGCTCTGAAAAGACTTCAAGTGTTTAAAAATATGTTTTTCTTTTCAGTGCTGCATATGACATAGATGATCATAATATTCTTTTTGAAAGACTTGAATATTTTGTAAGAATTAAAGGAACAGCGCTAAACTGGCTAAAAATCGTATCTAGCTGATGATAAGTCTTCCTCATGCTCCAGTGTTACCTGTGCAGGTGATCTTAATCTGCAGGTTTACTAGTGGTTCCTAGAATTTCTAAAAGTAGAATCGGAGAATCAGATCTTTTAGCTATCAAGCTTCTCTCCTGTGGAACCAACAACCAGTTTTAGTAATTGAGGTAGATACTGTACCCTGTCTACTTTAAAGGCTAGGCTTAAAACTTTCCTTTTTGATAAATCTTATAGTTAGAGTGGCTCAGGGTATCCAGCGCTATTTCTATAGTTATACTGCTATAGGCTTAGACTGCTGGAGGACATAGGGACCCCTTTTTCATCATTCTGCTTCATTCTATCTCTATTCTCCCACTCTGCACAATCTGTTAGTTCAATCTCTTATATTATGCTCTCTTTGCTTTTTCTCATAGTAGCTTTGCCTTGTCTTTTCCTGTTTGGCTGTGACATCATCCTGGAGAGTAATGTTAGCTATGCTGCTGCCCTCAATACCTTTGTTAAAGATTTCATGCTCAGCCTGTTTTTCAGTGTAGACCTGTTTCTCTTACTGTGACTGGCTGGATGTGCTCGCTTCATCCTCAGATGTGCGGGCTGCCTCGAGGCTTGTCAGCCTGGCTGTGTATTTCCTGGAGGGGGCCGCCTCTGGAGCTGGTTTACAGTTGCCTTTTGCATCTCTGCTTTTTTCTGTATGTCTGATTCTCTCTCCTTGAACTCCAGTCAGCCTCGGCAGATGCATGTTCACACTAATGCTATGTTCACACCTAAAGCAGCAAAGGCAGCAGGAGCAGCTAGTTTATATGCAAAGTCAATGGATGAAGCGCATTAAGACACAGCAAAACGTTCCGGAGCACGCTTTGAGCTGCAGGACCAGCGCATCATGAGTCTCTGAGCATCTGACGTGCTGAACATGCTGCAAACGCTGCAGCTGCTGGAGTTGGAAAAATTCAACTTTTGCTGCTCGATGCGCCACATCAGAGAAGCTGATCTGGAAGCTGGCAGGACACATCGCTGATGATACAGATGATCTGAAACAGTTTATTAAGGCCTAAATTTATGTTGTTCTGTTGTTTTGCATGCTCGATCCATGGGTGTACTGAGAATGATTTTGCTATTTCTATATCTTGAAAGTTACTGTATAAAAAAATACTTTTTACATCTTGAACAACAATTTAATAGCATTTTACATTTTGGATGGAAGCAAAAGCTACCTAAGGAAGCAAAAAGTACTCTGTAAATAATTTTATTTCCTCATCAGCTCTTGTTTAATTATTGAGCAGGCTAACAAAGCAATGTAGCTTATTTTCCAAGGCCATATCCTTATACTGATATGAAAAAAAAATCCCTCTGTTAATTTTATGCATTATGATGCACGTGAGTTTGCCATTCCCCTTTATGCTGGTCTCCTTTTAAACTGCAGTGCTCAGATCATCTCTCTCAGGTGTTGTTTGATGTTGGATGCTATTAGATATACTTTTCATAGAAAGAAGTAGATCATCAACGGTAAGTGTTTCAGCTTTTGGAAAAGGTACAAGTTAATTTAAAGTAATCAAAAAAAATTTATAAATAAAACTGATTTTTTATTTTTAAGATTTTTTTTTTCCTACTGACTAATCTTGGTGTTATCTTACTGTATTTAATCTGATTACACCATACATAACTAGTTATCATTTCATCAATGATGAAACATGCTTCAATGATCTTTAGACACCAAGACAGTAATTTATGCTGTCTAGGAAAAGGAAGTGTTAATGTTAATGATTGTATTTGTCATGTTTTTAGTAAGCTGTGTGACCCACATTAATCAACCATTCTCAGGAAAGGTTTAAGAATTTTATGACAACTGCAAGATCTGACAGAAAGTGTTTCAGGAACTGGACGATCACAGAAGACTTAGACTTGACTTAGACAAACTTTATTGTCATTTTGTATACACAAAGTGTATACAAAACGTAATTTCGATATATACAGCTTTTCGACAGTGAATGAGCAGGTTAGCAGTGAGATGAAAATGTCTATTTATAAAGTGCAGCAGTGATCAAAATGTAAACAGAGTAGGAAAGACGTGGAATTGATGTGGAAGGTTCTGAACATTGCAAAAATCGAGTTGAATTCGATTAAAAGGGATATGAAGATAGGGAAGATAGTGCATCTTTGATGTTTACAGTGTGATGCAGAGTCTTGATTTGTGACTTGATTAGAGTTTTCAACAGTTCAACAGTCATGGGAGCGGGGAAAATGCTGTTACAGAAGCTTCTGGTCCTGCATGCTGCGAAGCCTCTTCCCAGAGGGCAGCAGGGAGAACAGTCCATAGTGCTCGGGACACAAAATGCTGGGATGAAATGTCTTTTACGGAGGGGAGTGGAGCCCCGATGATCCTCTCTGATATTCTCACCACTCTTCTCATGTTCTTCCAGTCTGAGGCGCTCCAGCCTCCACACCACACAGTGAGAAAGCTGGTTAGAATGCTCTCTATGTAGAAGGTTAGGTGGGAGAAGGAGGATGGGTAGGAGCAGGCGACCATTGAGGAGGTGTTCATAGTCCAGGTGAGGTTGTCTCTGATGTGTGGTTAGGCCCATTCTTCGTCAAGTCCACGATGATCTCCTTTGTCTTCTCCACATTCAGGATCAGGCTGTGATCTCTGCACCAGCCCACCAGCTGCTCCACTTCCTCTCTGTAGTCCTGGTCGTTGTTGTATCCGATGAGGTCCACCACCGTGGTGTTGTTTGCAAACTTTACGATGTGATTGGTGGTCAACCTGGGGACGCAATCATGTGTCATCAAAGTGAACAGTAGGGGGCTCAGGACGCAGCCTTGAGGCAAACCTGTGCTTTGGATGATGAAATCAGAGTTGTTCTGTCCGACCTGGACTGACTGAGTACTGTTTTGAGGAAGTTTAGCAGCCAATTGCAGAGGGGTGTATTGAAGCCCAGCTGTTCCAGGTTTTCCTATCAGATGCTTTGGGATGATGATGTTGAAAGCTGAACTGAAGTCCAGGAACAGCATCTGCACGTGGTATCACGTAAGTGTGATAGGCTCAGGTGAAGAGAGGAGGAGATGGCTTCCTCGGTGGAGATGTTTCTTTGGTAGGCAAACTGAAACAGGTCCAATGTTGGGAGGAGACTGGAGACAATGTGTTTTCTTTACCAGCCTTCCGAATCATTTTATCATGATGAGAGTTAGTGCGACGGGTAGGTCATTAAATGAGGTGACTTGAGACATCTTCTCTCTAAAAGAGTGACAAAGGATGAGTATATTGTTATGAGGTAATGAGGTAACAGGCTTGCCAATAGGCTTTCTTGATTGGTCAAGGTTTTCTGCCTGGGGGGGCTTGGGATGGGGGGTTGGCATGAGGTAGTTCTGTGGAGGATTACTAGTAGCTGATGAATTAGGAACGTGTGTGGAAAAAATGACAGAAGGCACAAAGGAGGGCAGGCAGGGTTTAATCATGCAAGAAGGTCAGGGGAGGAACAAGGAGTGGAGCTGCCAGCTAGAGTCTTGATACCACAGTTTCTTTTGTGGATCTGGATAGGATTTCCTGGAGCTGTCGAGTTGTGAGCTAAGGCGGAGTCTTAGAGCTCATCCGTTTTCTGGGCAAAAATGCAGAAGCGAGTTTCTTCACTCTGTGAAATACAAGAAGCAGGTCAAAGCTTAGAGGGCATGGCATTATCCCTAAGGTTAACACTCAGGCATCTGAGTGCTGGCAGCAGGTTCCTCTTATGCCCCTCAGCTCATAAGACTAATTGCCTGCAGCTGAAAACATTTAGCTGCAGGTCGGCCCATCCAACAATCTCACCAATGCCATGTGTTAGAAGACTGAAAAGAATAAATCTGTTCCAAAAAAACAATATTCTTTTAGCACATGAATAAAACTGTATTTCTTTAAATACATACTAAATCAATTGAAATATCAATAAAACATTTAAACAACGAGGTATTTGTTTTTAATATAATCTAGAAATGTAAAATATTTTCATTAAACAGATTATTCAACTATTTTTACCTCCCAATTTACAGAAATTACAGATGCATTTTGTCTGAGCCACAGCTGCTTTGCTTTCAGTAAACCTGCATGTGTTGGTATATATTTTTTAAGTATTACAGATAACATAATTTTATTTATTTTTATTTTTTTTATCCTATAGGTTTCGGTATGCGTACTATACTCTCCTGTTTGAATTTGGCTCCTCTGGTCTTAAGCCTCTTATTTATGCACTACTCTGTTCTGTGCTGTCGGATTGGGAACCACAGCGAGTGTGATGCTGCTCCATTTGTACCAGGACACAACCTGGTGGGGGAAGGCTTTGATGTGGTCACACTGCAAAGAAAAGGTGCTTATGTGATTGATGTGAAGACTTACCTGAGCCCGAGTGGTACCTGTACTCTTTGCTCCAACCCTCTTCAAGGCCATAACTTCCAAAAAGTAATGTAAAATTCACTATAAAAAGCTCCACATAACTTGCAGAAATAATATCTCTGCTGCTTTTTTTATTTTAAGCTACCATCGTCTGTTGTGGACTGGCGTGCATTCAGTCAATGCAGTGCGGATATCTACAGTAGTTTTTACACCTCTACAAGGTAAAGTATTTAAAAAGCATTATGAACAGTGTAAGAGATCACAAAGCTGTTTAAATAGTAAATTATTTTTTACAAAAATCATATAGTTACGTTTAGTTAAAATTCGGTCTGTAATGCCATGGTACAAACTGCTGTGTATTTCAGAATCGGAATCAAGTTTATTGCCAAGTAGGCTTGAACTTCCATGGAGTTTGACTTGGTATTGATGGTGCAGACAAATTAGATATATACAGAATACAGAATCTATAGTATACAATATAAAACATACAATATGGAGTACACAATATATAGTATATAGTTATTTACTATATACACAGTAGACTGCGTTAATGTTACGCAGGAGGTCTAGAGAGGCTACATTGGTGTAGCTTTTAGATCATGAACAGAGGAGGGAGAGAGGCAGTGTTAGTCAAGTGGGTCTCCGGGCCTTGTTGATAAGGCTGTTAGCGGATGGGAAGAAACTGTTCTTGTGCCGTGAGATTTTAGTCCTGATTTATTTAATTGATTTATTTAATTATTTAATTGTAATTCTATGTAATAGATCAATCAACTGTGTAGGAAACTCGAAAGTATGTAGTGTGTAACTATACTAATACTCTAATACCCTTAAATATTATGTGAAACTGTTCTTTGTGAAGGTTATGGGGTTAAAAGAGAAAATTAATGTACATCATAAGACCAAGACATAGAATAATTCTGTATCTGCTTTGGATGAAGTTCTCTTGTATGCTGGATCCATGATTGTACTGAGAAGGATTTTGCCATTTCTATGTCTTGAAATTTACTATATATATAAAAAATATATTTTTACTCCTTGAACAACAATTTCATACTCAACTCAACTTTATTTATAAAGCTCTTTACAAAAAAAAGACAAAGTGCTGCACATACCAAGTACAGTTAAAACCACATACCTGTAGATGTTTAAAGGAATAAAACCATCCAACCATCCATCCATCCATCCATCCATCCATACATACATACATACATACATACATCCATCCATTTTCTGACACGCTTCATCCCAAGTGGGGTCACGAGGGGTTCTGGCGCCTAGCTCTAGCTGTCAATGGGCAGGAGATGGGGAAAATCCTGGACAGGTCTCCAGTCTAACTCAGGGCAACACAGAGACAAAAGGGACAAACAACCATTCACACACACACACTCACACCAAAGGAGAATTTTGAGAAGCAGCTTACCTAACAGTCATGTTTTTGGACTGTGAGAGGAAGTTGGTGTACCCGGAGAGAATGCACGAATGCACAGGGAGAACATGGAATCTCTATCCAGAAAGACACCGAGCCAGGAATCGAGCCCCGGAACCTTCTTGTTGCAAGGCAGCAGTGCAGCCTCTAAAATAAATTAATTAAAACAAATAAAACCATATAAAAAATGACACAAACCCACAAACAAAGAGAGTCTCATGCTGTGTTAAAAGTCAAAGAATAAAAATAGGTTTTAAGTTTTAAAAATAGACAGTGAAGAGGATTTTCTAATGAGGAGGAGGAGCTCATTCCACATTTTTGGAGCAGCTACTGAAAAAGCTCCATCTCCTCTTAGCTTCTGTTCAGACCTTGGTACCACCAGGAGCAGAGGGTCAGCTGACCTGAGGCACCGAGTGGGAGTATAGGGGTAGAAGCTCAGAGAGTAAAATGGGGCAAACCATTTAAAGACTTAAAACTGTTGTTTATGATAAAATCTTGACTTTACTACAGTGCTTATTTGTCGATCCAATTTAAAATTACTGTCCATCTTAAAACCCAAGTTTATAATGACAGTCTTTAAAAACACAGTAAAAAAAACTCAAGTGAATAGGGGGGATTCACAAAAATTACTGGACCAAACACCATCACTTCAATTTTTTCCTCATTAAGATATAAAAAGTACAGAGCCAACCATGCTTTAATGTCCTTAAAGCATACCGGTAGTGGTGCAAGGGAGAAGGAATTTTTCCTTTTATTAGGAACATATATCTGACTGTCCAGCATAAAAATAATAAGAGATGCTGTGCCTTCTTAGGATGGACACAAGGGGCAGTAAGTACAGCGCGAAGAGAAGTCCTAACACTGAACCCTGTGGAACCCCATAAGCTAGAGGAGGAGAGCTAGATTTGTAGTTCCCAAGGCTCACACTTCTATTGGAAAGATAAGACTTTAACCAGTCCCGTACAGTACCACGAATACCAAAGATGTGATTTGAAGGAGACATTAGTGTTGTGGTCCACTGTATGAAAGGCTGCTGCCAAATCTAACAAAAAAAGAATCACATGGTCACCAGAGTTATTTGCAAAGAGGATGTTGTTAAAAACTCTTAACAGAGCTGTCTCAGTGCTATGCAGATTCAAAAGCAGACTGAAACAACTCCAGGACACTATGTTAATTTAAAATCAATTTGAATTGAGTTGAACTTTTCTAAGATTTTACAAATACCGGTAATAGCATTTTGGTCACATTTAATGTAGTATCTTATATATTAAAATTAAAGTACAGTAACATACAGAAGCAGCTGTACATTATGAGACCAAGACAAAAACCAGACAGGTCAGGGATTAAAGCGTGGTAAAGCTTAAAGCCAGGTTGGTTCATAACACAAATCAAAAGTTATTTTCATGATAGTTGGGTTATTTTTATGGGACTTGGGTTATTTTTTGTGCAACCCAAGCACTTGGTAATTCCATAGCCTTTCACAGATGCAGAACAATATTCCTGTGTCTGGTGAATAGGACAACTGTTAGTTGTGAAATTTACAAGATTTGCTTTTTGTAAAGTGAAATAAAAAATTTTTACAAGAAGGCCAAAATAAATCAAACTTAGATTTGTCATGGTCTTGGTTCTGTTGTACTTTACTTTGCTGCTTGTTTTCTAGTTTTATTGGTTTAATTCCTATTTTGTTGTAGTTTCTAGATTGATGTTAGTTCTCAGGTTTTTCTGTTGTTGTCCTCTGTTGCCCTCTTGTGTGTGTTCCTTTCCCCTTGGCTTCCTCCGTGTCTCCTCTCACACCTGCTCCTTAGCCCTGCCTTTGTCTCAGTCAGCTACATATACTCTCCCTCTGCTGTCACTCTTTGTTGGTTCCTTGTCTTTGCTGTCTTCTCATGCTGTTGTCTACCTACCTCGTCTCTCCCTGGCTCCTTGTGTTTGGTTTCCCCAGATGTGTCCATAGTTCTGGTTTGCTTTACATTGTTAGTTGGATTTTTGGATTCCTGCCTTTGTTTACTGTTTCTCACCATTAAACTATTCCTCAGCCTCTCTCCCTCTGCATTTGGGTCCTCAAACCTCAACCAAACCCTGAAAAGATTAACCTTAAGCTATTAAAGGAACACAGCTCATAGAGGAGCAAGTGACCTGGGCAGAGGAGACAAAAAAAAACAAAACAAAAAAAACGATAGCCTAATTTAGTAAATCATTTTTAGAATATCACTTTATTGTGGCCAGTACAGCTGTGCCATACTTATACTGTCTGACAACCCTCTTGATGTGCTATACCTATGGATAAAAACACAAGAAAAGAGAACTAAGATTTGGATAGAACTATATTTTCTTTGTGTGCAAAGAAAATGTCTTAGATCTTAAATTTCAGCTCATTAACAAAACTGTTGTATTTATATTTTGTTCAGTGTGTTATATTCTCTATTGACAAACCAATCATTTTGTTTATATATGGGTTAACACAATAAAATACTAATTTAATTCATTCTCTTTACTGTATTGTCAAACCTATTCTTTACTATTCTGCAAAGATGTTAAGTGATAATTATTTTTTTTTAATCATGCCAACAGCTCACTGATTAATGCCTACACATCCCAGGACAGCAAAGACTGGAAGGTAGGACAAACCTTTCACAATACTTTAGGGCTTTATCTTCTAAAGCTCTGCTTGTATTAAAACATGTGCAAACCTGTTTGAAAGTCAGGGGCAAACTTAAAATTCTTGAGTTCATTGTGATCACAAAGGAGAAACTTACTAAATGTAGACTTAATGTGTTTGGACTTGGGGGAAAAAAAACAAAAGTCCACATCCTAAGGCTTGCTTATGCAAATTTTATTGATCAGAACATGACCACTTATTCTGTACCTATTTTTTTTTTTCCTAAGCAATTTGGTGCTCCTGATATTGGTCATTTGAAGATCAAGTCCGTAGTGCAGTCCTGTTTTAATAATGCAACCTAAGTTGAAACCTTTGCTGATTAATTTTATTCCTTTTATCCATAGAATTACGTTGATATATTGCCCTTTGTAAAAGCAGCTTAATAGTCTATATTAAGTTAGAACTGAAGTAGGTAATCAGAAGGATAACAATAAAAGTATGGCTCATAATTTAATGGCTTAAAAACTTGTACTTTGGATTTTCATCAGGTTGGTCTGGATGTAGAAAAGTATGCATCTGCCAACCTTGAGGTAGGAGGAACCCAGTCCTCTGCCTACACCTTTGCCTCAGAGAGGACAAGAGAGGATCGCTACACTTTCAGTATGCACAGAGTCACTTGTAGCCATTATGGGTAGGATACAGTAGAAGTCAGATTTCTTTCTCTAGTTCTAAAAAGTCATGTCCATTGAAATAATATTCTATTTTTTGTCTTGGTGTCCAGGTATCGTTTACGAACCACGCCTCCCCTCAGCTTAGAATTCAAAAACCATCTAGCAATCCTGCCAAGTCACTACAACTCCTCCACCATTACTCAATACAGAGAGCTGATACAAACCTATGGCACACACTACATCCGGCAGGTGACAGCCTTCACATACACAAACCCACCTTGTAAAATGATTTGTCATTACTTTATCAGGAAAGCATTTTTTCATCTTTTTTTAGGTTTACCTTGGAGGACGACTGAGGAGAGTGACATCTTCACGAAGCTGTTTATCCTCTCTGAATGGTCTAACCTCAAATGAGGTAAAAAAAAAAAAAAAATTTTTTTAAAAAAGGACATTGATCTAATTATGATTATGCTGAGTCTTAAGTCCTGAATGGTCCTCCATATTCACTCTAAAATAATTTCTGAACCAAAACATAACAAATGTACCTAATCTAATTTATCTAAACAAATTATGCTATTTTGTTACGTTCACAATTAACTTTATTTGAACAGCAGAAGTAGCCAGTTTACATGCAAATCTATGGTTGACGTGCATCAAGGCATATCAAAACGTTCTGCAACACATCTTGAGCAGCAGGAACAGCACATCTTAAAGCTTCTGGGCAGCTGAAGCAGCACCTCATGATTATCTAGACTAGTATATTAGACTTAGACAGACTGAGAACAACTTTTATTGTCATTTTGTATACAGATCGTATACAAAACAGAGTGTATACAAAAGCGTGTGACGCGCTTCACAAGCAGCAGATGCTAGACTTTAAAAATGTGAACTTTTGTTGCTTGATGTGCCACATCAACCAATCAGAGATCAATCAGAGAAGAAGATGGAAACAGCTCTGCTCATGCAAAGCTGTCAGCATCAAGTGAGCAAAAATTAACAAGAACATGTAAATATATATAAACATGGTAAAACTACTACCGGTAGGTTTACATAAAAGGAAAGGAGAATGTTTTTGCTTCATGTAGGAAGAAAAGTGAGCGTTATGATCACTCCACTAAAACAGTTTATTAATGCATAAATTAACTTGAAAGAAGGAAACCTGTAAGTGAAAATGGGGACGAGCACGTAGGACGGCCTTACGTAAACATATCACCAGAATGATTGACAATTAGGAGGACCATTTATTTTGATGATCCACCCAGAAAAAGAACATCCTCCACTATACCTTTAACTAACAGGTCTAAATTGCAAACAACAGTACACATATTGTTTTTATTTTGAAAAAAAAACGTGCAAAGTTTTATTGCTTCTTTCTGCTGGTTTGCTAAACATTCTGATGCTCACATTAAGCTCGGATCGCATCACATCTCATGTCACACTTCTGCGTTAGCTCAAGGGGTTTTAAAGACAGCTTGGAAAAAGATGTAGCTACACACTAATAACGGGTTTAACTGTTGTAACTGTTAAACTCCTGACATATTTTGAAACATTTTGTTTAAAAAAAAATCCAAAAAAGGAAGAGGGCTTGTCGGAAAAAACAATAGGCTATGTGATCGAACAATAACATAAAACCTTTTTTATTGTTGTGTGTTGACTTTGGCTACCTACCTACATGGCAGGTAGATTGACAGTTTAAAATCACAAAAGTTACCTGTATTTGGTGGGTGGCAATGTCATGCCCTGCCTTACAGAAGTTGCACTGAAGAAAAGTAGTTGGCATGTTGAGCTCTGGCCTTAGAGATATGCATTTTAATTTATTCTTTTTTTGTAATAATCTAAACCTGTCTTGTTTAGAATGTAACCCTTTTTTTCTATTTGTTTCATAATTTATATTTAAACTCATGATTTTACTTACATTTCTTTATGTGATAAATAGAGGTTAAATATAATCTAAATTTACATTTTAACAGATTACCCTTTGATTTTGATAATCAAACAGGCCAGCCAAAGGTTTAAGTACACATTATGATTGTTTTGAGAACCCCTGTAGGTTTAGTGCCATCCAAAGAAATTATATTAAACAGAACAAAACCACATTTATCAGTGTCTTCTTAGGGATACTTTATATGCAAATGTTTGCTACAACATAGTAATTTTACGAAATCTCATTCCTGTCTTGTCACCAGGTTCACTCATGTTTATCAATGGGTATTGCTGTTGGCCTGGGGAAGCTGAAATTATCTAGTGTCCAGAAATCTTGCAGTAAAGTCCTACAAAACCAGGACTCTTCTACTCACTACGGATCCGGCCTCCACCAACACCACACAGAAGTATCAGGAGGAAATGGTTGGTTGGGGGAGTTTTCAATTTCTCAAAATGATTCCACGGGCTACATGGGCTGGCTGAGCGGCCTGAAAGACTATCCAGATATTGTTTCATACTCTCTCATACCACTCTATAAGCTAATACCAAGTGAGTCTCAAAAGTCAGGGATGAAGGTGGCAATTGAGCAGTACTTGGAGGACAACGCTGTGAAGACATCACCCAAAGAACCTGTCTGTAATGGCAACATTCCTAACCTGGCCTCCAATTGCTGCCCTCTGAAAGCTTCAAGAGGAACACTCTCAGTTACCATTGTCAGAGCCTGGAATCTTAAAGGAGATCCAGTTGGAGAAACTGAAAGGTGGGTTGACCCAAAGGGTAGAAACTAGACCTTAATGTAGCAGGTGAATAGTACTGTTGATATATTGCTCACCTTTTGTTCTCTCCTGTTTATAGCTATGCTAAGCTGTGGTATGGCCACATATATCACAGGACCCGTATGATACGATCAAACTATCCTTGGTGGAACGCACAGTATAATATGGGCAAGGTCAGTAAACTTTCTCATCACAGATTAATTAAAAAATTTATCTACGCCATAAATTTGATTCTATGGACTATTACCTGGCTGGTATTGTAGAATTCAATCTGTGAAGTAGTACCAGAATGTTAAAAAGAAGTGAGGAGACAATCATGAGACACCAAAAAAGGTACCTTTGCAAGCATTAGTTGTCAAAGGAAGTATCAATAAATAGGATATATAATCTGTATTTTAAGTTGCAACTGCATTAACTAATGTACATAATTAATGAGTCTCACATCTTCCTGAGTAGGACAACATCCACTGTAGAAATAATGACCCCACCCTTACATAAGTTGGACTCTTTATTTAGCTCCCCTGAAACCGAGATATCAGTGGACCTGTTGTTTACACACCCACTTTTTGGATTGTCCTATTTTTCATACACATATGGCAATGCAGTTGATTAAGGGGATGCTCTATGCATGAAAAGCGGTGCTGTAGTGACACTGGATATGTGTATGGTTCAATCTTTTGATCAAGATGAAAGACAAAAAAAGATATCTAGAAGAAAAGAGAAGAAAATTTAACTTAAAATGTCCTACTTTGTTAGGCTTAGCAAGTCTCAAAAAGTCTGGGGAAAAATTATAGTCAAATAAAATAACATTATATAAACTTAACAAAATATAAACGAAAAATAAACAGTTACAAAGCAGACTTATGTGGCTAACATGTACATCCAGTGACAATACCCAGCCTCCCAGTCTGCTGTCTGTCTTTCCTTCTCTCTGTCTTTGGGTAATATAAAATCGATTTTAAAGGTATAGTGGAGGATTTTCCATAATTTTTAAAAAGACCTACCCTCTCCACTTAAAAAATACACATGCGCAACCCTGTACCCACTCCCGAGAGGGAAGGCCTATTAAATACATGTAAGAGCACGCACAAGCCCATTTCTCCTCGTGCACACTGATTAAAAGTTGCTGTTTGCATCACTCACACAAGCTTACTTTCCAAAAGCAGATTACCAATTTTTCCAATATGTCAGACTCACAACATTAAGTGAAAATGGGAACGACAAGTAGGACTGCCTTACTTGAACATACCACCAGAATGATTGACAATTAGGAGGACCACTTAGTTTGATGATCCATCCGGAAAAAGAACATATTATTTTAATCAAAATTAAAATACTGACGCTATTTTCAAATTCATGTATTCCTCTATTTTCTTACATGTGACACTTCAGTGAATAAAAGGCACTAATTATAGTAAAAAACTTTTACACCCCAAAATCATTGTGAAAATTTGTTACTAACTTGGATAATTTTTGGTGTTCCTGTTAAATAAAATTAAGATTTTAGACCCTTATAAGTATTAATTTTGTCTTAGTGAAAACCATACATTTTCATGCTGTCAATTTCAATAAGCGGCCCGTATAATTCATTTAGAGCCAGCCCGCAACTCTTGATTTTTGTGATAAAGATTAACCACCTGTATGGAGAAGAGTAAAGTTTTATAATATCTATGGTTTGTGAAGCAGCTTTGAACATGACAGTTCACATTTCATATATTTACAGTACAGTGCTTCAGTAAATACCGGTAAATAAAATATTACATTTGAACACAATTGATTTTCCACTTAAAACATCTAAATAGACAGTCTACATATATATTTTGACTAATATGTGTGCTGCTTAGATAGGATTACAGATCATTTATGAAATTGGATATATTGTAGTGCAGTTAAGACTTTTTTCTTCATAAAATCTTGTGTTAATATATTTAGAGTAGAAACATAAAAACAGTCCATGTGAACGATCATCCATGTAAATTTTTCCATGCAGGTGGACACACACCTGGGACTGAAGGTTGAGGTTTGGGACCAGGACTTAAGATATGACGACCGACTCGGAAGTTGTACGAGGAACCTGAACAGGGGTACCCACAGTTTTACCTGTCCCGCAAAGAGAGGAGGCTTTGAGGTCAGATACACGCTGACCTGTGACTC